CGAAGCTGGTTTGCGCTCTGCCGGATGCGCTTTTATGCTTTCTGGTGCTTACGTCTCGCTGCTCCATTGGACGGATTTGACACGTGCTTCAGAACGCGGTCACGCAAGGGCGTTCCCAAAGCGATCTCGACGCAGCGTCTCGTTCCCTCGGGGAACCATGGTTACATACGTAACCTAGAGACGATTTTTTTGCACCCTCAGATTCCAGATTTTCAAATAGTTGTATCTTGGCCAAACATTGTCCGATCCTAACAAACCATGCATCATTTAAATGTGATGTATTCAGCTTTCAGATGATGTATAAATCTCAATTTAAAAAAATTGACCTTTATGACTGGTTTTGTGGTCCAGGGTCACATATGATGCATTTTTTACATCACCAGCCTGAGTGAGCGGTGTAAGGCACGCCTGCCAGCGAACGAACGGTGCCAGAGAGGATTTTGCTGCGTTTGTGGAGTGGGTGCTGGTGAATAACAGATCTTTATTGACTTTCTGCCCCGCCTAGAAGGACTTCACCAGCCCCACCCCAAACCCAGAGACCAGCCAGCCATCATCCCGCTGCACGGAGCAATCGCCTGAGCCCACTGCAGACGAAGAGCCTGAGCCTGCCGTGACATGTGAGCCAGCGCATAAACCCACGACTGAGCCGATCATCGCCCCAGAGACTGAGCCTCAATAATCATCTGACCATGTGCATGAGCCGGGAACATCCTCCATCCCCGAGGGAGTACTGGTGGAGATCGGGGGCTTGGAGGGAAGCCCCGCCCACACTTCCGCGCTGAGGGTGAGCTGCAACTGGTTTCTGGACATTATGAGGAACTGATAAACATTTTTCCAGAGGACTTAATAGACTGGTTTGAGGAGGTAATACCCAGTGCTCCTAAGTCTCCTATGTCTCCGCTGGTTCCGCCCAGCCCTGAATCTCCTGCGTCTCCGCTGGTTCCATCCAGACCTGAATCTCCGCTGGTTCCGCCCAGCTCCTGTGTTCCCTCCCAGCCTCCCTTTCCCGCCTCTTCTTGTGCCAGCCAGTTCCTCTGCCCCGTCTCCGCTGGTGTCTGTCATCCCCTCAGCTCACCCTAAGTCAGCGCCATCTGGGTGCTCTGATCCGCCTCGGGACTTCCAGTCTCCAGCTCCGCCTAGGCGTGAGGATCCCCTGTCTCCAGCCTCCGAGTCCTGGACTTCACCCCGGTCCTTCGACCCATCGACTCTGCCTTGGTTCCTAGCTCCCTCATATCCACCGTGGCCCGTCATCCCACTGGCTCCACTGGGCTCACTCGTCCCTCCGGCTCTGCCTTGGTCAGTCGTCGACCATCCGCCGCCTTGGGACTCCACTCCTCTGGCTTCGCCTCGTCACTCCGTCCCTCTGGCTCTGTCACGCTCCTCCTTCCCTCCGGCTCCGCCTTCGTCCTCAGTCACTCCGGCTCCGCCGCGGTCTTCTGGATCCCCGCCTCCACCTTGGTCGCCTGAGCCTTCAGCTCCGACCTTGGCCCTCGGATCCTCTGTGTCGCTCTGGCTCTCCGTCTGCTCGGCTCCACCTGGGTCTCCACCTCCAGCGGCTCAGTCTCCGTCAGTCGGCCCCCTGGTGTTTGTCGGCCCCTTCTCCACCATGGCTCATTACTCCCTCGACTCCGCCCTGGGGCCATGTCCTGGCTGGTCTCTGGATCGCCATCTGGCTCCTCCTGCTCCGGGCTCCTCCCTGGCTCCTCCCTTCATCTACTCCACCCTGGCCCTATGAACTATGCCCCTTTCCCATTGCCTGCCCCACGCCCGCCTTCTGATCCCCCACCCTTCTTCCTCTGTTGGGCTGTTTATAGGCGCGAGGACGTGCCTTCCGGGAGGGGGGGCGAACTGTCACAGTTATGTTCTGTTTTGGTTCTGTTTCAGTCTCCACATTTCCCTGAGTTTCCTTGTCTATTAGTTTCCATGGTTTTTGATTAATTACCTCCACACCTGTTTCAGCTCTCCCTAATTACCTTTTCTAGTATTTAAGCCCTGTGTTTTGCCCTAGCTCCTTAGTTCCGGCATTGATGTTGATTTGTGTTTATCTCCTGCGTTTCTCATGCATGTGGATTGATTAAAGGACTATCTTGTTTATTGCTATACCTGCGTTGTGTGCATTCCACAGCTACACGCAGGGCCATCCTTAGGGGGGTGCAACTAAGGACTACTTAGTGCAACTAAGGGGGGTCCTGCCTCGCACCGGGCCCCGCATCAGCTAAGGACGGCCATGGCTACACCTGACTCTATATATATATATATATATATATTAGCCAAATATTGTCCTATTCTAACAAACCATTCATTGATGGAAAGCTTATGTATTCAACTTATGTACACACACACACACACATACATATACAGTGTTGGGGAAAGTTACTTTTAAAAGTAATGCATTACAATATTGTATACACACATCAAAAAATGTTTTATGTATATATATATATGTATCCAAAATCCATCCAAGATGTAGATGAGTTTGTTTCTTCTGAAAAATTCAAAAGGAATAGTTGAACAAGATGAATTTGCTTCCTCATCAGAATAGATTTGGAGGGATTTAGCATTCCATCACTTGCTCACAGATTTCTTTAAATCTGTTTTGATGAAGAAACAAACTCATCTACATCTTGAAAGACTTAAGGGTGAGTACATTTCCAGCAAGTTGGTTGAACTATTCCTTTAATTCAGCCATAAGCATCTACGCAGAAGGCAATTGTGCCGTCAGTTCAGAGTTGATTCAGTTCAGTTCAATAACAGTGTCAATGCTGCAGAGCTCATCAATTATCAAACACATTTGATTCACAATTGATTTGGTGTGTTAAAAATATCCATGGAAAAGATTGTTTGACGGTGTCAATGCAGCCTGGAGTAGAAAGCAATAAAACATGTTTCCAGAAAGACAGGGAAACAAAACAACACAGAGAACAACCAGCAGTGTGCAATGAAGAAAATGAAATACAAGTGGTGATGATATGAATATGATCAAAGGAAGAAATGAAATTAACTCCATATGAGAAGTAATAACAATAATAGTAGGCATGCAGTGTGTGCAGCCAGTGAGAAATCGAGTCAGAGAGAGAGAGCGAGAGAAGCAACCAAGGCTGGTGCACGCATGACGGACGCTCCGTGAGCTCTGAGACGGCCAATCAGAGCGCTCGGCTCACCCAAGCTGCTGCAGCGGAGGAGTGAGAGAGGATTCTCCCACACACGCACACACACGCATCCAGAGCAGCACACGCTCGACAAGGGAGCGCAGACACGCGGTGACAATGGTAGGTATGGGACATAAAGTCTGTTTGGAAACTTTACCACACCCACCCGATGCACATTTGTGGACTTATATCATTAGGTAATGTGGAATATTTTCTATTTTCATGCATCGTACCGAATGTGTTTTGTATAGTATGTAGGCTGAGAGTGAGTGAGTTATCTGAAGGAAGTTGCTGTGCATCATCCGACTATAGAAAGTGAGTAATGCCACTTTATTTTCCAGCATGCATGAGACAAGAAGTCAACATCAGGATAAAAGGGATCTGTATTCAGTGTGCGGTATCTGTTGAGTATCTCCTGCTGTGCTGCGTGAAGTAAATCGACGCTGTTCAGCCGTGTATGCAATGATGTGCGCTTCATCAGATTGCCAGACGCAGCTGAGAGGTGCATGTCTGCGGCTTATAAGTCTTATCTTCTTACAGCCGCACTTACGCACCGTCATCCAGACGAAAGGAGAGGAGGAGATCAGGGGCGGCAGATGAATGCTAATAATGTTTGGGTAGATTCCACTGCCGGAGAAGAAGTTGTTGAAGCACGTCTGCATGTGTGGTGTGATGCTTAATGTCACTATTTTGTGTTCAGAAGCAGCTTCTTATTGATATATTTTCCTTGCACACTCAGAGACGTGCACACAAAGCTGTTTGGTGTTTGAGACACAGCGTTGCTCTATTAAAGCCCCTGAAAGGATGGTTGTGGTTCGATACAGAGCTTGTGCTGTTGTGCTGTCAGAGGGTTAAATGGGAGATTTCATAAGATAGAAAGAGAATGATGGGAAAGAGATAAAGCGAGCTTTCTGAGTTTGCCGTGTGTGGAGAGCATTCTTTTCTCGGCTACTTCTTCTGAAATGATTAAATTTGGGCCACTTTGCAGAGGAGTTGGTTGTAGGATTTGAGAGGGATTTGATTCTCTCTAGAGAGCAGCGGCGTTCGACTGTATAAATCACCCTCAGACCGTTGACATACAGGCCTAGTTATGTATGGCAATGATGTGGATGTTTCCAACAGAAAAATCTAGTGATTCTTCACATACTGTTGACAATGCATGACAGAGCTCTTCCTCATGAACCATTTGGTTGCAGATTTTGTTCATTCATTCTGATTCATGAGCCTTGTATGAAGTGAGTACCTTTGCTATTTGAGGTGTATTTGGGGCCAAACTAATGAAAGGGCGGATTCTAACCTGCATGTTCAGCATGAGCTCATAGCTCAACATTTCTAGACTATATAAATTACTAAGTCATGGCACCAACATATTTTCTTCTTCTTTTTTTCTAAAAATAAAAAGTAAAATGAAATAAAAATTTAATGAAATAAAATAAAATAAAATAATAATTATTACATTATTTAATGATGACAATAATAGATTTTTTTAGCAGTCTTAGCCAAGTTAAAACTGGTGTAATTAATTTTTATTTACTATGTAAATGAAATATTTAAATATGTATAATCAATATATATATATATATACAAATTATATATTAAACATAACACACAACCATAATAATAATAATAATAATAATAATAATAATAGTTAGTATTATTGTTATTAATATTAATATTACTATTATCATTATTATTACATATATAATGACAATAGCAAGTGTAAAGTCATGAATTATTTTACTATGTAAATCAAATATTTTAATATTTATAAATAACACAAATATAAACAAATATATAATATTAAATATAACACTAATAATAATAATAATAATAATAATAATATATTTATACTTGTTTGTTACAAACAGGGTGAAGGTTCAAAGATCTGGAATCCATGACTTCATACTACCGATACCAATAGCCTTTTAAATACTTCATTGAGAGAAGGGTCCATCTTTGAAGGGTCTTCTGATGAGAACACGCTGTGTTAAATGGAATCCACATAATAACCATCACCCTGTTAACCTCTGAAAAGTGGTTAACACCGAATAAAGCAGAAAACCAAAGTGTCAATAAGTGAATGAAACACTTGAGGCATCATAACCTTCAGACCTGTGATCCTGCTCCTCTAATTCATCCTCTGCACAACTGACTTGTCCTAATAGAGCAGAATACACGGCTATCTAGTCCAGACAGCTCATTACTTCCTATAGCCCTTTAATTAAGCAAATACTCTTGATGCTAAAAGCTGCCTGTGTCACAGTTCACAGAAAGCCATTAATACCATGAAATAAACTAGCATTGGAGGCTGATTTGGCTTTGCCTGCAGGAGGCTAATGTCTATACTTCTCTGTTTGTTGTGTTAGCATGTCTGCACAAGACAAATACTGTGTGGCTTATTGCTAAGTGTTGAGGCAGTGATTTGAAACAGCACTTCGAGGAGAGAAACATCGTTAGGGAGACAAAAAAGCCTGCAATGAAGTGATTATCCTGCTGTGTGAGATTGTTAAGGATGCTTATAGTTGTCATGAAAGTAGCGATTTGTCTCGGTAAGAGAGAAGAATGTGTGATGAAACATGAGCGTGGATCACAGACAGGCTGTGATGGCACATGCAGTCTTCATCCGTGCATTGTTTACTTGTCTACTGTTCCTTTGGTTTGTCGCCTTTCTTCTCTCTTTTCCTTTCTTCTCTATCTTGGATATCATTGTACCTTACTTTCTTTCCCACCCTGAATCATCTCCTTTCCTTTTCCTTTCCTCTTGTTTTCTTGTCCCTTCACTTTTCTTTCCTCATTCCTCTTTTATTTCCATACTGCTTCCTTTTCCCTTTCCCTTTCTCTTTTTTATGTCGCACTCTCCTTCCACTTTCATTTATTTTCCTCTTTTCCTTTTCCCATCTCATGCCTTCCCCTTTCCCTTTCCATTTTCTCTTCTTGTATCTTCCCCTTCTTTCTTTCTCTTCACTTCTTTTCCCATTCCTCTTTAATTTCAATTCTACTTCCTTTTCCCTTTCTCTTCATTTTTTTGCCTCAGTCTCCTTCCACTTTCATTTGTTTTCTTTTCCTCTTCCTTTTCCCATCTCATGCCTTCCCCTTTCCCTTTCCATTTTCTCTTCTTGTATCCTCCCTTTTCCTCTTCCCCTTCTTTCTTTCTCTTCACTTCTTTTCCCCTTCCTCTTTCATTTCAGTTCTACTTCCTTTTCCCTTTCTCTTAATTTTTTGTCGCTGTCTCCTTCCACTTTCATTTTTTTTAATTTTCTTCTTCCCTTCCCTTCCCTTTCCCATCTCATCCCTTTCCCTTTTCCGTTCTATTTTCTCTTCTTATATTGTCCCCTTTCCTGTTCTTTCTGTCCCTTCTCTTTTCTTTCTCCCTTCTTCCTTTCTCTTCACTTCTTTTCCCCTTCCTCTTCATTTCAGTTCTACTTCCTTTTCCCTTTCTCTTAATTTTTTGTCGCTGTCTCCTTCCACTTTCATTTTTTTTATTTTCTTCTTCCCTTTCCCATCTCATCCCTTTCCCTTTTCCGTTCTATTTTCTCTTCTTATATTGTCCCCTTTCCTGTTCTTTCTGTCCCTTCTCTTTTCTTTCTCCCTTCTTCCTTTATTTCCATTCATATTCCCTTTCCCTTTTTCTTTCACTGTCCCCTTCCCTTTTATTTATGTCCCCTTTCCCTTTCCATCTTCCCATTTTGTACTTTCTCTTTTTCTTTTCCTCTTCCTCTTCTTTCTGTCACCTTTCTTTCCCCCTTCCCTTTTCCTTTTCCATTTGTCCTTTCTTGTTCCTTTTTCCCTCTCCCCTTTCTTTCAGTTTTATTTTCCCCTTCCCCTCTCATTTCCATTCTACTTGAATTTCCCTTCTCACCCGCTACCCTTTTCTATCTTCTTTCATTTTTTCCTTTCCCTATCCCTTTTCTTTTCTGACCCTTTCCATTTTCCCGTTCTTGTTCTTTCCCTTCTCCTTCTCCTTCCCTTTTCATTTCCTTTCCTCTTTCCTTTCCCTCCTATTCCTCTTTCATTCCCTTTCCATTTCCCTTTCCTCTTCCCTTTCCCCATTTCCCCTTTTCCTTTCCCCCTTTTTTCCCTGTCCTTTTGCTTATTTATTACTTGTCTACTTGCATTTCCTTTCCCCTTTCATATCCTGCCTTTCCCTTTTCCATTTCCCTTTCTTGTTTTTATTGTCCCTTTCTCCTTCACTTTTCTTTTCCCTTTCCCCTTTCATGTCCATCTCTCTCTCTAACCCTTTTTTCTTTCACTGTTTCCTTACCTTTTCATTTTTCCTTTTCCCTTTCCTTTCTCACCCTTTCTCTTTTCTTTCACCTTCTCCTTCCTCTTTCATTTATTTTCCTCTTCCCTGTTCTGTTCTCATCCCTTCCATTTCCTTTTACATTTTCCCTTCTTGTTACTTCCCTCTTTGCTTTCCGATTCCTTCCTATTCTTCCCCTTTTATTTCCTTTCTTGTTCCTCTTCCTTTTGCCTTTCCATTCTCATACTTCCTACCATATTTCCCTTTGCCCTTTCCTTCCTTTTGCTTTCCCTCTCATTTGCTTTTTCCTCCCCCTTTCCCATCCCTTTCATTTCTCAAACCATCATAATTTTCTAATTTCTTGTGGCACATTTAAGGGCTTTAAGGCATTTCACGACACCATTGGTATTTTATGGATGTACTATATTCATAAAACTGATTTGTTTACCGCACCAAAGGTTATATCACCTCATTTATCTTTCTATCACTTTATTTCTCTTGCTCTGTCATTTCTGAAATCTCCTAGCATTCGTGCATCTTTATCTGGTCTCCCACCTCAGGATTTCCCATGAGCTTCACTCCTCAGCAGCTCTCCTGACAGAACAAGTTATGAGAGAGACAGAATTCAGTAAAACAGAATATGGCACACTTTAAAACACATACTCATAGACTCATGCAAGTCAATAATCCCTCTCTCTCTCTCTCTCTCTCTCTCTCTCAAATACACAGAGGGAGGATTCACTAAGAATGAATTGAACACAATGATAGCACTATTTATTTGCTTGCAATGTCTTATGTTAGTGCCCAGTTCACTAAAGAAATGATACATATCAGTAATGGTGAAATGCAGTGGATGCAGCGGACTACTGCAATCTGCTGTACTTTACATTAAATGCACTGCTTCACCAGTGATCCAGAAACCTGAATCGACTCTTTAAAATGCAGAAAGAGTGAATG